GAAGGCTGTGGTCTTTGATCTTCATCAGTAAGTGCTTCAAGTCCTCTTCACTTTCAGCAAGCAAGGTCGTGTCATCTGCATAACACAGGTTGTTAATGAGTCTTCCTCCAATCCTGATGACCCATTTTTCTTCATATAGTACAGCTTCTCAGATTATTTTCTCAGCATACAGATTGAATAGGTGTGGTGAAAGGATGCAACCCTGACGCATACCTTTCCTGACTTTAAACCACACAGTATCCCCTTGTTTTGTTTGAACAACTGCCTCTTGATCTATGTACAGATTCCTCTTGAGCACAATTAATTGTGCTGTAATTCCTATTCTTTGCAATGTTATCCATAATTTGTTATGATCCACACAGTTGAATGCCTTTGCATAGTCAGTAAAACACAGGTAAATATCTTTCTGGTATTCTCTTTCAGCCAGGATCCATCTGACATCACCATTGATATCCCTGGTTCCATGTCCTCTTTTGAATCCGGCCTGAATTTCTGGCTGTTCCCTGTTGATATACTGCTGCAGCCGCTTTTGAATGATCTTCAGCAAAATTTTACTTGCGTGTGATATTAATGATATTGTTCGATAATTTCCGCATTCGGTGGGATCACCTTTCTTTGGAATAGGCATAATTATGGATCTCTTCCAGTCGGTTGGCCAGGTAGCTGTCTTCCAAATTTCTTGGCATAGACGAATGAGGGCCTCCAGTGCTGCATCCATTTGTTGAAACATCTCAATTGATATTCCATAAATTCCTGGAGCCTTGTTTTTCACTTAATGCCTTCAGTGCAGCTTGGACTTCTTCCTTCAGTACCATTGGTTTCTGATCATATGCTACCTCTTGAAATGGTTGAACGTCAACCAATTCTTTTTGGTATAATGACTCTGTATTCTTTCCATCTTCTTTTGATGCTTCCTGCATCATTTAATATTTTGCCCATAGAATTCTTCAGTATTGCAACTTGAGGCTTGAATTTTTTCTTCAGTTCTTTCAGCTTGAGAAATGGCAAGCGTGTTCTTCCCTTTTGGTTTTCTATCTCCAGCTCTTTGCGCATGTCATTATAATACTTTACTTTGTCTTCTTGAGTCACCCTTTGAAATCTTCTGTTCATTTCTTTTACTTCGTCATTTCTTCCTTTTGCTTTAGCTACTCGACGTTCAAGAGCAAGTTTCAGAGTCTCTTCTGACATCCATTTTGGTTTATACTTAGGAAATTCGGCTGATTTTCAACTAGGAGTTCTGAGGCAAATTTCTTCTCTGAACCTCCATTTCTTCATTTTCAAAATGGCAGTCATACCTACCTCAAAGGATATTGTGAAAACATATGAAGTAATGTAAGTAAAACACAATTTCAAGCATTCAAACAGTTTTTATTGCTGTTAGAATAGGTTTCAAATATGTATAAAACACTGGGATGTAAAAGGCTATAGTCTCGTCCCATAATATTAAAGAAAAGTATAATACATATGCTCCTATTTGTTTCTGTTAGTTTGTTGCATAGCGTATAGGGTCTTAAAAGCTTGCAAGCAGCCATCCAAGGTACAACAATTGGTCTCTATTGCCTGGAGCAACAGAGGAAGAAGAAGAGTTAGGAATAGGAGAAGGAAATGGAATGCAAGGCCGGTTGCCTTCATAAACAATGAAGACCAGAACTGGATGGTGCCAGGCTATCATTACTGAAAGTTTTGATCAAAGATTCTATAGAAGAACTCTGATCAAAAGGGGGAAAAGTATGTAACAGAATTTCCATTCTTAGGGAATTCAGACTTTCTAGAGCCATTGAGGCTGGATGAACCCCTGAAACTATTGCCCTGAGATAGTCTTCAACCCTGAAACCTTAAACCAAAAATATTCCTTGAAGCCTCTTTAAAGCAAGCAACAGTCTAGCTTAACTAGTAAAGTGCGTCTGCCATGAACACTGTGCTCTTTTAAAGAACTTTCTGTATGGAATCAAATGGATAACAGCAACTCGAAAGGTTAGATAGGAAGCTTAGGGGGAAGTGAGTTTGTGCCAGTAGGGGGGGAACAAATCAGGAAATGAGGGTGAGAATAACTGTGTAATTTGGAGAATGCAGTCAGTGTCACTGTATTGTACACATAGAAATTGTTCAATTGGTATATGTTTTGCTGTGCATATTTTCAGCAACAACAACATACGTGTGCTTCTGTAGCTCTCACAATACCCATCTGCTTATGGTTCTCTGCACCAATCATACTGTTTATTTACCTTCACACCTCTGCTTGTGCTGTGTCCTTGGACCCAAAATGGTCTCCTCCTGTCCTGGATCCCCTCCCTGCTCATCTTCTTCAGTGAGGCCTTCCCCAGCTCTTCAGGTGGCCTCGAGTGCCCTTTCCCTGTGCCCCTGTATCTCTCTCACCGTGTTTGCATGCTCTTCTATAATCCCCTTCAATGGTCAATGGCTCGAGGACAGGGCCTACATTTTATTCATCTTTGTGTCTGGGGCACTGAGGATAGTGCCTATACATTTGCTGATAAATGCGTATGGAATGAGTGACTTTAGGAATTCTCAGGAGGAAAGCAATTTATAGCTAAAGATTTCTTGGAGAGAGAAAAAGGGAAGCAAGCATGCTATATCAGTAAGAACGTAGGGACCAGAGAGAGCGTGAAGCTTTGTCAGTGATGTAAATGTGCAGGATACAATAGACTGCTCCTGCCATCCCGGAATGTGATACAATGGACTGCTCCTGCCATCCTGGAATGTGAGTACCAGAGGTGCACATGAAGTTTTTCTCTGACTCATGCCCTTCTCAGTGCTTATAGGATGAAAGAATGAGTCAGTAAGTGAATGCACTTGGAAGCAGCTAGCTCCTCTGGCCTATTTAACATTTTTAGGCATTTGGTCATTATTATTTTAAAGTAGGGGTTGGCAAACTTTCTGTAAAAGACCAGATAGTAAATATTTCTGTCTTTGCAAATACTCGACTCTGCTGTTGTGGTGTGAAGGCAGCCACAGAACATATGTCCACAAATAAGCATGTGTTTGTCTCCTAAAACAATTTTATTTATGGTTACTGAATTTAAATTTCGTATAATTTTCATATGTCTCAACATATTATTCTTCTTTCAGTTTTTTCCCAACTATTAAAAAAGGTCAAAACCATTCTTGGTTCATGGGCCTAAAGGAACCTAGCTGACCTCTGGCCTAAAAGAACTTTAGCTCCAAGTATCCGAAAACCAAGCCTGTTGTCGATTCTGAGTAGAAGATGAGCTATGAGCTCTAGGTACAAAGGACATCAAATCCAGGGATGAAGAGCTCTTCCTTCACTAAATTAATCCTTGCAGCTCCCTTGATTTGCCACTAGATAGTGCTCCCTGCAGACGTGTGGCTCAGCCAGGGGCTCATTCAACAAGGAATGATTGGAGTTTTGCTAGATCTCAGTGAATCAGCTGCTGCAGTATTAGTGCAGGCACACACACGGTCCCGGTGATTCAACACTTATCACAAAACTATGTGTCTTCTTTACATCTCCACCTTCTCACTTATTTGTACACATTCCCTGAATTGTAAAGTCATATACCCAGCTGAGGGGAACGCTGTCACTCTCCCAAGGCAACTGAGGTTATTTGGTCAAAGACTCAGGACCATAACATGAATTCGGGCGACAGTTAAAGATTTGGGGGCTGCAACATGGCATCTGGGAACAGATTCTACCTAAGATGCAAGTTGTTAAGTGAACAGGATTCTTGAAGCCCATGTACTCTGGCGGTGTAAGGCACATTCTTTCCAAAATGGTCCTTGCTCTGGCCTCTTCACCTCAGCTACTTCTCTCCTTGAGGTACGTGATTGAGGGACCTAGTGTTTCACTCGTTTGGCATGTCCTGCACCAGGTGTCTCACCCTTTAGGGTGTGGGGGTACGTGGTAGCCGTAGTAGTGTCCTTGGCCTGTGGGCATGCGGTAGGAGAGGAGGCTTGGAGCAGTGGCCTGGACATCCTGCTCCACAGTGGTCATTTTCACCCCCTTGTCTGAAATCACCCCGCTCAGACTTCTTTGCTGGACAAGGGGCCCTTTGGCTTAACGGTCTCGTTCTCCTCCCTTTATCACCACCCTCCTTTGTCCAGACACACAAAAGAAACAGACTGGAGTCTATTAAAATCATTAGCAATGGGAAAAGTTTCCATCTTGGAAGGAAAGGGCTCATTTATAGACCCGTGATTGTGAAGGTCTGTGAGGCTCGAGTCTGCGGTCTTGAACAGTACACCACGCTGTCACACGGTTGTGTCCACCCTGGCCCCTAGTTTGATCTCAGGAAGTGCAGAATGAATCTTCTCCCTTTTCTGTACTTCCGATATTTCAAGAAAGTACTGATGTCCTTCCTGAATCTTTTTTCTCTGAGCTAAACACCGCTAAACCAAACCTGTTGCCATTGAGTCGATTCCGACTCATAGAGACCCAATAGGACGGAGTAGAATGGCCCTGTAGGGTTTCCAAGGCTTTAATCTTTATGGAAATAGATTGCCACATCTTCCTTCTGCAGAGTGACTGGTAGTTTGAACCACTGACCTTTCAGTTAGCAGCTTAGAGCTTAACCACTGCATCACCGGGGCTCCTTGAAGCCTTGCTAGGAGGGCGATAATCAAATCCTTTCAAAACTCTCGATGTACTTTTCCTGATGACCAAGATCAGTGGTTCTCCATGGAGGCCTTTACGCCATTTAGGAGACATTTTAAACGTAGGAGTGACTTTTGGTTGTCACGATGATTGTTGGGCCACCAAGAAAGAGTTTGGGTCCCAGTGAAAAACAAAAAGCTGAGGTTCCCCCAACAAGAGCAGATGGACAAAAAAAAAAAAAAAACCCTGTATACAGGATTTGTGTTGGTATGCAGCGTAGTAGGGCCTGTGCCCTGTTCCCCACCACCAGCCTGGTAATTAGTACCTGCATCCCCTGACTCACTGATCCTGGCCAGAGATGCTAGATGTCCTGGGAAGCAGGGGACAGTCGTATATGATGGAGAATCTCTGTTCGGGTTTGCATTTCAGGTATGTGAAACCTGTTAATCAGTATCTGAATGTAGAACTCTGTTTTATATGTGCCCTCACGGTAGTTTTTGTTGTTGTTGTTGTTGGAATATACACAGCAAAACATATACCAATTCAACAGTTTCTACATGTACAATCCAGTGACATTCCCACAGAGTAGTTTTGGTAAAGTTTTATTATATACTGAATTTTCCAAGAATGCAACTTGTTGTTAGTTGAAGGAAGATTATACTTAGTTGAAGGAAGATTATACTTTCTTTCATTCAGAGCTTGACTAGGAGCTGTTTACCGTTTCAGAAAGTCACGTCACAGACAACAGTGCCCCCGTGGTGTTTGTCTCCCAGAGTCAGTCTGCATTCCTAGCTCTCACCATCAGCGATTTTACTTAGAGGTGCAAGCATCTGACTGCTTTGCCATGCCTTCTAGTGTAGTGCCCAAGCAGATGCAGACTGAGCAATTTACGTATTTAATTTGCAATGAAAATATTTTATTTCAAGTTAACTTTCATTTTATTTCTGCCTTATTAGGTTAGGTTAGTCACTTCTTTGTTTAAAGGTATGTGAGCTAGTAAGTTATATTATGTATGAATGTGATTTCAGAGTAACCAGAGGGGTGTTAGATGATATTTGCTGTAATGAGGGACTAAGTGTAATACTTTATGTATGTGTGTCCTATTGCTGCTGTAACAAATAACCGCAAACTGAATGGCTTAAAAGGACATAAATTTATTATCTTACAGTTCTGGAGGTCAGAAGTCAGAAATGGGTTTCACTGGGCCAAAATCTAGGTGTTGGCAGTTCTGTGCTCCCCCTGCCGGAGGGTCTAGGGGAGAATCTGTTTCCTTGCCTTTTCCGGCTTCTTGAGGCTGCCTGGCTTGTGGTCCTTTTCTCTGTCTTTAAAGCCAGCATCTTCAGATCTCTCTTTGACCCTCTGCTTCTGTCATCACATCTCCTCTCACTCTGGCCCTCCTGTCTTCCCCTTAATAAGGACTCTCGGGGTTACATGGGGTCCACCTGAATAGTACAGGGTAATCTTCCCATCTCATGATTTGTCCAGTTGCCGTTGAGTCAGATCTAATGCGTGGCGACACCATGTGTGTCAGAGTAGAGCTGTGCTCCATAGGGTTTCCAATGGCTGATTTTTCAGAAGTAGATCTCCAGGGCTTTTTCCCAAGGAGCCTCTGGGTGGACTTGAATGGCCAACCTTTTGGTTTGCACCACCCAGGGACTCCTTATGATCTGTAACTTAATTACATCTGCAAAGTCCTTTTGCCATGGAAGGTGACATATTCATATGTCTGGGAATTAGGATATAGACATCTGTGGGAGCCATAGTTCTGCCTACCACACTTTAATATTACAGTAAAACCTGCAAAAGCCAGAACCTGGGTGGTTGGAAACCTGTCAGAGAAGGAAAACTCACCTATTTTTCGCTAATGGAGAGCAATAGAAAAGTGGTAAGACTGCATTCTGTCAAAGGTGGAAAACTTGGGGGACCCGGAAAAACAAGGCAGTCCTGTCGAGTTCCAGCTCTCACAGGTTTCAGTGTATAATGGTCACTGTTCTGACAAGACTGAGACCACAGATGAACTAATGCTCTGGCTGATACTCCCTCCCTCTTTCTGGTCTTGTGGCAGGTACGTTCCTTCCTTGACCGTGGCTTGGGCTCAATGTGTTCCAGGGGCACAGCGTCTCAGAGAAGAGCAACCTAATCGCTGCTGGGCTCAGCCACTGGCCCCTGGAGGAAGGTTCTGGATATTGCAAGGCCCCAAGTTACTAGGCAATGTGGGGACTGTGCATTCATTTTGCAGCTAAGCTGGACTGAAGAACTCTTTTCTAACCCTTTATTTCCCCTTTGTGAGTGTGTGCTGTTTACTTTTTGGGGCACCCAACTTTAAGTGTCTTAAATGGTTTTGCTCATGATACACCCAGAAGTCACTGAGATAGTTCCTACTTCCAGAGGCTATGTGTTCAGACTTAAAAATCAGGATACTGTTTAGAGTTTGACAAAGAAGTTTTGGTCTGCTTCTGAGAGTCAGAGGAGTTTTGGGAGATGCAATTTGTTTGAAGAAACATTAGAATTTCTGGCACATCTTCATAGTTGTTGTTTTTGCAGGGGTGGTAATGTGGCAGAATTAATAAAATAAAATGGTGATCATTTAATGGCTTCTTTATTGATTGCCAGGAACGCTGGTGGCACAGTGGTTAAAGTGCTTGGCTGCTAACCAAAAGCTCAGCTGATTGAACCCACCAGCCACTCTGAGGTAGAAAGATGTGGCAGTCTGCTTCTGTAAAGATTTACAGCCTTGGAAACCCCATGGGGCAGTTCTACTCTGTCCTGTAGGGTTGCTATAAGTTGGAATCGACTCGACATTAGTGGATTTTTTAGTTTAATTTCTTGCCAAGCCCTGTGCTGTGCCTTTTACACATACTATTTCATTTAATCCTCACAACCCTCCAGTGAGGTAGAAATTATCATCCTTGTTTTGCAGGTTCTGTCTCAAGGTTGGTGAGAATTCAAACCCAGATCTATCTGATTTAGAAGCCAGTACTCGCAAACAACTGTACCTACAGAGATCCAGGGCATGGGGTCCCCCATAGGTAGATGCACCCCAGAAACTAAAAATAGTACTTGGTTGGAGGATAAGTCAGAACTCCAGATCTGCAAGTGTCTTTCTTTTTAGCCCCAGTGAGAGCTACCTGGTGGCCAGGGAGGTTGGTGTTTCATTCACTGTGGATTTCATAATTCTCCTGGGTACGAAGAAGGACAGAGCACATTGGAATTTTCCAGGAAGCAGACACATGTTTAAAGGAGATTTGATACAAAGACAGAAGCAAGATTTTACTTTTAAGGCCTGCCTCCTCTCTGTGTTAAGCCTGTGCTCCGGCATCATTGAGAGCAGAGAACTCACAGACCTCTGTGCCCTGGTGTGTTGGTGTGTGTATGTGTGTGTGTGTGTGTGTGTGTGTGTGTGTGTGTGTGTGCGCGCGCGCACTCACCCTGTGGGAGCCCCAGGTAATATTAGAGAGCAATGAAGAGTGATGTCCCTAACAGGCCTAAATAGTAGGTTTTGGCATATATGTATGTCATATCTATGCCAAAGTAGGAGCCCTTGGTGGCACAATGGTTAAGCACTTGGCTGCTAACCAAAAGGTCAGCGGTTTGAACCCACCAGCCACCCACGGGAGAAAGATGTGGCAGTCTGCTCCTGTAAAAATTACAGCCTAGGAAACTCCATGGGGCAGTTCTTCTCAGTCCTGTAGGGTTGCTCTGAGTCGGAATTGACTCGATGGCCCACAGTAACAGCAGCAACAACATGCCAGAGGGGTTCAGCTTCTGTTGCTTCTCACAAACAGCACCCATGGGAGAGGGAGTGAGGGTTCAAGCCACCCCGATCACTTGGGGAAGTACAAGGCTGACAGCTGAAGGCTCCCAGAGCGGCAAGTATCACCTTTCTCTTCTCTTGGGCCGTTTCAGCTGCCTGCTTTTGATGGACAGAGGCATCTGGCTGCTAAAAATATCCTAGTGACCAAGTCGTCCCAATTCCAACTAAAGCTGACCATGGCAGGAGCCCAGTACTTAGCACATACAGATGGTTTCTTCTTGCAAAGGAACTTTTCAACGTTTCCAAGCCCAGTCCTAGAACCACACACACCCAGGTCACTCTCTGCTCTGTCAGCTTTGCTGGGTGACACAGGAGACCCTTCCCAGATCACGGTCCTCTTGCCTGCCCACTCCTGCCCCCAGGAAGAGGGGTGGAGGGGGAGGTGAGGGCCTGGTGCTGAGAGGGGTAGGGAAAGGGAGGTGGCTTGCCCATTTATAGTCTTGCTCTTTGGGATACTGAAGGTGCTGAAATAGCAGCAATGACAAGAGACGTGCCTCAGTGTTAGATATCCCCTGTGCTGGCCCGAATGTCTCTGAGATGACAGTTGTGGGAATGGAGAACGTGGAAGTCTTCCCTTCCGAGGGCAAAGGCCGGGGTCTGAAGGCCACTAAGGAGTTCTGGGCTGCGGATGTCATCTTTGCTGAGCGGGCCTATTCTGCAGTGGTTTTTGACAGGTATGAAACGTGGGGAGTTGCTGTCCCCTCTCCTCTTGGTTTGACTGATGCCAGACTCTGAAATGCTTGTTCTCAAAATCATCAGGGATATGATCATTTCTAACAAAATGGAGCATCTAATAGTCAGCTGTTTTCTGGCATATCTTTTTCTGCAAGAAGTCTTTGCCAGTGTGGTTGGCTCTGGTCCCTGGAGGCCAGTTGTAAAAGTGAGATGATGCTGTGGGGCCCTGTTCACCAGACGCTGGTGAACTCGGTCGAGTGGGGGTGCTGTGTGTGGTGAGAACCAAGGGCGAGGGCATGGAAAGGTGGGTGTGGTGCTGTGGGAAACGCTTCCTTACAGAAGGCTCCATGTTTTTAGCTTCTTTTGATATAATGTTAGAGCATAATGTAATTACTGAGACTTTAAAAAATTAATGGTAATTACATAAGTAACACAGAAATAATCATTTACCTTTGAAAAATTAGAATGTCACTGATAAAGCAATAATCCCCTTTTACCACCTCCTTCCTCACCCCTTAGTCTTAGTCCCCTCTGTCTTCCCTCAGTGGTAACCCCTGTTGTGATTTTAATGTGTTTCCTTATAGAATGTTCTTGCACCATTACATACCTATATGTACACTTAGCAAAATGTATAGTTGTAGTTTGTGTATTTATTTATTTATTATAGAAAAGGTATCATTCTTCAGGTGTCATTCTAGAATTTTTCACCAAACAATACGTTTTTGATGTCTATCCTTATGGGAACTAGAAATCTATAGATACTTTTTTTCTTTTTTAAATCCCCAAAAATGTTTCTTTGAACAATATGTAGAGCTATCCATGTTGGTCCATATGCTATATGTTGTAAATACTCCACTCTATGAATATGTGAAATTTTATTATCCGTTCCCCTATTCTGAAACATTTGATGGTTTCCATAAAGACAAACATTTTTGCAACTAAAAGCTTTGACCGTGTCTACTTGTGCACATGTGTGATTGTTCTCTAGGATGTGTATCTAGAGGAGGGATTGCTGGACTGTGGAGGCTGCTCTTTTCAGGTTTAATAGGCTCCCCACTGTGGTTCTATTAAATTTACATTCCCACCTTCGTGTAGGAGAGTCCTCATTTCCCCACAATCCTGTCTACAGTTGTCTCCCAAATTTTTAAATTCTTACAAAATTTTTATGAAAAAAGAAAACACAACTTTACACTGCGGTTAAATTAGAATGACAATACTTTCTGAACCAAAAGCTGGGGTGACCTGCCTGGCATTCATGTGGTCTGAATCAAGACTGCCGCTGGTAATCGAGGCTGCGTGGTTGGCTGATTGTACCTGCCATCTTGAGAAGGGGCACTGCTTTCAGAGATAACTTCATTAGTGTCCAAATTCCTTTTTCTTCCTGCCTACCAAAACCTTCACGGAAAAGGCACGGAACTGAGGGATATGGCTCACCAATACCTGAGGAATATGAGGGGCTGAGGTGATAGCAATAGCTCCTCGAGGGAGTGTGTTTATTTTATAAATTTATTTACCTGTGTGTTGGGTGGGGTGAATGCATTGGAGACTCAATTAGATTCAGAGCTAAGACATAACACACCAGAAGTTCCGGGGCCGTGAACGTTGATCTTGGTGCTGTCACTGAGTTGCCGCCTGACTTTGTCAAGAACACCACCATTTGTTGACGCCAGTGCCCCCAAAGCCAATATATCAAATCAGTTTCCCTTTCAAGAATGTTTGGAGTTGAGTGGATTTTCTTCCATTTTTAAAGGAAAACACACTTTTTTAGAAAATCAGGAATAAAAATACATTATCACACGAAGATAACCACTCTTAACATTGTTGTGTAGTTCTTTCCAGTTTGTTTAAAACATAGGTTCCATTTGTTTGTACTACACAGTTGGGATCTTATTAAATAAACTATCATGTTTTTTCATTTGATAGTTTAGGCATCTTCTGTGCTACTATACACTCATAAACATAGTATTTAGTGGCTGCATGCTCGTCTATCACTCCCTTATGACTGGACACTTCGGTTGTTTACATGTTGATGTTGTTATAAATAATTCATTATTCATTGAAAGTAATCACTACAAAAACAATGTTAGTGTACATTGCAGATAAAAATGCTACATAAAATATATTATTATTACAATGGTAATAAAAATTGGGGTGATTTGAGTAAGTGATCTTTAAAATGATAGCAAAAAATCTAAAGGAGATACTTTTTAAAAGTGATTTACCCAAACTTGCCACTGCACAGATGAGGGATGGCTGTTTCTTTGGGCACGCCTGAGATGGCCTGGAGTGGCATCAGATACAGCTTGTCTTCACTTGCATTGTAGGTTCCTGGTGAGGCTCAGCCACTGTAGATGAGACACTTGAGTGGGGAGGTAGGACTGAGTCAGCCACAGAAGTTTATCTATTCAGTCACTCTATAAAAGTGGCACTTTCTAATCCATGTTATTCTAAGCTAGCCTTTCTGCTCTACCTCTCCAAGCATGAAGAAATGTTATTTTTTTAATTGAAAACTGCATTAAATGAAAATTCTTTTAAACAATATATGTAACAACAAAAACAACACACACACACACAAAGTTAGCAAGAATCATCTGTGAAACCACTGCTCAACTTAATTGTTATGTGTCATTGAGGTGACTTAAGACTCATAGCAACCTCATGTGAGTAGAACTGCCCCATAGGGCTTTCTAGGCTGTAATCTTTAGGGAAGAAGATCGCCAGGTCTTTTTTCTGTGGAGCCGCTGGGTGGGTTCAGCCTTTTGGTTAGCAGCTGAATGCTTAACCATTGCGAGCCAGGGCTTCTCCGACTTAACCTAGAACATTCTTCCCTGTCTTTCCCTATCCTGTTTCCTGCCTGCTCTAATACTAGTTTTATCACATCTGTATGTATTCCTAAATTATATATAGTTCTATTTTTAAAAAATAGATTTTATTTTTTAGAGCAGTGTTAGGTTTACAGAAATGTGCGGAAAGTACAGTTTCCGTATATCCCCTCCCCTCTGCACATCACTTTATAATTTAGTTTTTATGTTTTGAGCTTTTAAACAAAGCTATAGTATTATATGTGGTTGTATGGCACTCGCTTCTTTAACTCAAATGTTTATTGTATTATTCATCTGGATAGTTTTGTGTTGCTGTTGTGCTGTCGAGTTAATTGTGACTCATAGCGACCCTATAGGATAGAGTAGAACTGCCCCCATAGGGTCTCCTAGGCTATAATCTTTTTTTTTTTTAAATAGGAATTTTTTTGAGAAGACTTCCTGTATTTATTTTGAGAGTCTGTCAGTTCTGAACTTTTTTTGTTTTTAAATTGTGTTTTAGGTGAAAGTTTACATAGCAAATTAGGTTCCCATTTAACAATTTTTATACCACAAGTGGATGGCTTTAACAAACGGAAATTTATTCTCTTACAGTTTAGGAGGTTAGAAGTCTGAATTCAGGGTGCCAGCTCCAGGGGAAGGCTTTCTGTCTCTCTTGGCTCTGGGAAAAAGTCCTTGTCATCAATCTTCCCTGGGTCTAGGAACTTCTCAGCAAAGAGATCCCGGGTCCAAAGGATGTGCTCTGCTCCTGCTCTTCTTTCTTGGTGGGAGGAGGTCCCTTTCCTCTCTGCTGGTTTCTCTTCTATATTTCAAAAGAGATTGACTTAAGATACAACCTAATCCTGTAGATTTCATCCTGCCTCGTTAACGTAATTGCCCCAAATCCTGCCTCATTAACATCATAAACTAACAAACAAAAAAACTGGTTGCCATCAAGTTGATTCCTACTCATAGCAACCCTATAGGACTGAGTAGAGCTGCCTCATAGGGTTTCCCAGGAGCAGCTGGTGGGTTCGGATTGCTGACCTTTTGGTTAGCAGTTGAATGCTTAACCACTGTGTCACCAGGGCTCCATTAACATCATAGAGGTAGGATTTGAAACACATAGGATAATTCCATCAGATCACAAAGTGGAGGACAACCACACAATACTGGGAAGCCAAGTTGACATACATTTTTGGGGGACACAATTCAACCCGTAACACATATGAAATACTTTCTTCTGATGAGTTGTAGACAGGGTGGGGGTGGTGGGAGAAACACTAAACTAAACGTATACTTTGATTGTAAGACACATTCATAATTCAGAATACTAAAATATAAGGGAATAAGTTTATTTTAGAATGGAACGAATATAGCACATGTATAGTATTTTACGGATTCCAGGATACGTACTTGATTTTAATGTCTCTGAAATCATGATACATCCTATAATCTATGGCTCGTATGGTTTAATTGGCAGCATTTTTGTTACTTCTTAATGGTAAGTAAAAATGGTTAATTTAATAATTGATAGTATCTTAGATTCAGTGTAATTAAGATAAATATATATTTTTGTCTCTCAAAAAAGTGAGATTATTGTGAAATCTATTTTCTTTACCTCACAATATCTTGGGAGAAACTTTCTACACCAGTATCCTTCTATACAACTTTTAATGGCTATATAGTATTCCTATTGTTGATGGTTTTATATATATACAATTTAACTAGGTGGCATATTTTGTGTTTCAAGATTGTTTCCTACTTTTCCTAGTATATTTTCTGTACATCTCTGATTATTTGTTAAAGATAAGCTCCCAGAACTATAAATTTTGGATTCAAAAGACATTTTAAAGGTTTTTGATACAGAATTTCCAAATCACCTCATCAAAGAGAATCATACCAGTTGTCTTAGTTATCTGGTGCTGCTGTAACAGAAATACCACAAGTGGATGGCTTTAACAAAGAGAAATTTATTCTTTCAAAGTCTAGGAGGCTAGAAGTCTGAATTGAGGGCACCAGCTCTGGGGGAAGGCTTTCTTTCTCTGTCAGCTCTGGGGGAAGGCCCTTGTCATCAATCTTCCCCTGGTCGAGGAGCATCTCAGCGCAAGGACCCCGGGTCCAATGGGTGCACTATTCTCCTGGCTCTTGTTTCTTGATGGTATGAGGTCCCCATGTCTCTGCTCACTTCTCTCTTTTAT